CATGGTACATAGAGTTTTCAGACATATTGAAAAATATGGGAGAAAAAGAATTTTAATGGGGTGTGTATATATATTGATGGAGCTAGCTCTGAAGCCATTTGTTGATGTTGGCAAGACGATAAAGTAAGAGAAGACTAAGTTTAATTTATTGTTTCTACTTCCTTGGGTTCTGAAAAAAGGAGATCCTGGATAAGAGCTTTAAAAATAAGCACTGTATTTAATTGCTTTTGCAAAGAAAATCTTTCATGTTGATAGCAATAAATATTAATGAGTATAAGAATAGAAAATGAGATAATGAAGAATAGAATCCTTCATCAGAATAACAATGCATGAAAACCAATTTTGGGACTTCAAATTCCAGCCCTGTTTGGGTAACTTTTACTTTCCTAACCTCCTACTGAAAGCAACTATGAAAGCTGGATAAAGAACACTACAACAACTGCTTGAATGCTTCATTATATAATCCAGGCAAGCTGAACTATAGTGGTCAAAGGAACAGAGAAAACGGAAATCCAGCATGATGAGATTTTCAAATTAGTCTCTCTGACTATTCCATTGGGTAAATTCCTTTTTTCTTTTGCACATCAAATAGGGAATTTGTTCTTTTAACTGGCTTTAAGTGGAACATGGTAGTCTAGGAAAAAACATTTGTTTAAACTAGAAGACAGAGATTGGCATTTTGGAGTTCCATGAATACCAGGAGTTGTTCAGAAAGACCCTAAACTGCAGAGTGAGGCTAACCTGCTAAAATTCACAGAGGTAAAAATTTAAAAATAAATAAATAAAGTGTACTCCTATATTTTTCCAGAAAGAAAACTCCAAGCACAGATAGTTCATCCTGTTATATTTACCAACATTTTGAGAAAGAATTAACACCAATCTTAAACTCTTTAGGGAAGACAAATTTAAAAATAAATCATCTCTTAATTTTCCTTATTTCTAAATAAGCATAATAATAACTAAAACAAAAACATTATAAGAAAAATTGTATCTTAGTATTTTACTTAAAGTCAGATGCACAAATGTCCATAGAAATTTTAGCAAATTAATTAAAGTAGAAAATAGAAGGATTTTATATCATGATTAAGATTAGTTTATACCAGGAATTAATTTTTAATATTCAAATATCAATAAATTTTACTATAGCTACAGAATAAAGGGAACTCTATCAATAGATGCAAAGACATTTAACAAAAATCATAATAAATTAAATTTAAAAATTATTTACTCATGATTTAATATCTTAGAAAACTGAAAATAAAATTGAGCTTTTAAAATCTGATGAAGTATAACTAATAGCTACTAAAGCAAAAATTGCATCAGTGATTAAAGACTGCACACCTTTCCTCTGATATCAATTACATAAACATGTCCACTACCACCAAGTCTAGTCAACAACGCAGTAAGGCCAGCAAATAAAATACACATGTAAATATTGGAAGGGAATAAATTACGCTACCCACATGCAGTTAAAATCTCCAAAATGCAGACAATCTATAAAAATTTAAAATAATTGTCTTAGTTGTTGGTTAAAAATTAATATGAAAAAATTGTATTTTTATATTTTAGAAAAATCAGATAAGCCATTGACCATATATCATTAGAAGCATAAAAATTTACATAGATCTAGCATTGTCTTTGTGTGGAAAACTATCAAACAGAATTGAATGAATTTAAAATTATAAATAAGAAGATGAAAATTTTACACTTGTAGATCAAAAATTCTGTTGTCAAGGCTTTCTGAAATGATCTATTGAACAAAACCTAATCAAAACAGTGGCAGTTTTTTCAAAATTGTTTTAAATTTATATAAAAGTTAAAATAGCTAAGATAGTCAAAATACTTTTGAAGAAAATAAAGCTTAATATTTACACTGCCAAATTTCAAGTCCTTTTGTTAAAATGCAGTAATTAAAACACTGTTGTATTGGTGAAAGAATAAATAGAAACAGGTATGTAACAAAATGGAAAAAAACAACCTAATATGTACGTGATCACCAATTGTATAACAAAGTAACTATGGCAATATACTGCCATGGCTTGAAGCAGAAGTGTTAATTTCCTTAAATCTGTGATTTTTTTAATTGAATTCTATGCACTATCTGGATATCAGATTAAAGGAACTTATGAACTTGAGTGGGACAAAATTAAAACTTTACTTCTGCTAATCTCTAAACAAAGTGTATTATTCCTTTCATAGATATGTATGAATATAGGCAGCAAATAGCATTACTATTGGCAGTATATGGAAACTGTCGCCAATAAAAATCATAGAAATTTGTTCTTGAAGAAATCTTGAAATATCATTTCAACTCCTGGCATTTAAAAAATTAAATTAGCTATGAGACTTGTTGCTGAATATTGTTAAACATTTTGGTATTAGAGAATCAATTTATTACTCATAAAGTTGAATTTATTGATAATATTTCAGTGTAAATGTTTTCTTACATAACATTTAATTTTACTATTTAAATTATTTTTCTTCTTCTTTTTTTTTCTTTGGTTTTTGAGGCTGAATCTCTCTCAATCTGTTGCCCAGGCTGGAGTGCAATGGCACGATCTCAGCTCACTGCAGCCTCCGCCTCCGGGAGTCAAGCGATTCTTCCACCTCAGCTGGGACTACAGGAGTGTGCCACCATGCCTGGCTAATTTTTGTATTTTTAGTAGAGCTGGAGTTTCACTATGTTGGTCAGGCTGGTCTCAAATGCCTAGCCTCAGGTCATCCGCCTGCCTTGGCCTCCTGAAGTGTTGGGACTACAGGTGCGAGCCACTACTCCCATCCAGTTATTTTTCGTAGTTAAAAATTTTTTTCTGCTAAGACATCCTTAGCTTTCTTTTTATTTCCAATAGATTTAATGATACAAATATATATGAGGATATTGAATCAAAAAAAAAAAATCAAAAAAGTTTTCCCTAATTAACATGGTACACAGAAAGCTATTTCCAGATAGACTTACATCTATTTTTGTTTGTTTGCTTGCTTGTTTGTTTTTGAGGTGGAGTTTTGCTCTTGTTGCCCAGGCTGGAGTGCAACGGCCTGACCTCCTCTCACCAGAACCTACTCCTCTCAGGTTCAAGCCATTCTCACGCCCTGCCTCAGTCTACCGAATAGCTGGGCTTACAGGCATATGCCATCACACCCGGCTAATTTTGTGTTTTAGTAGAGACCAGGTTTCTCCATGTTGGTCAGGATCGAACTCCTGGCCTTAGATGATCTGCCCACCTTGACCTCCCAAAGTGCTGGGATTACAAGCATGAGCCACTGTGCCCAGCCTTGGACTTACATTTAAATATGAAATTAGATCAATAAAGCTTTTAGAAGATAACACAGGGGAATATTATAAGGAACTTGCCAGTGGCACCCTTCTTTTTTAAACAGAAAAAAAAGCATTATACAAAAAAATTACCAGCAAATTGGACCATGTGAAAGTCAGTACATCTAGTCATCAAAGAGCACATTAAGACTGTGAAGAGACAAGCCACAAGGTTAATGAAATATAGACTAGTGTAATATTGACAATGTATTATTTGATATTTAATTTTTCTAAGAAAGTATTTAGAAACATTTTCAAAATAAGAAAAAGAAGACAAAGAGCTCAATAAAAAATAGGCAAAGGCTTGAACAGGTGCTCATATAAGTATCTTCCCAATGAATCCTAAGCTTACCAAAAGATGTTCAAAGTTATTAGTCATCAAAGTGCAAATCCAAACACAATGAGACATATACCAGTGGCATATCTACTATTTTTTTCTTTTCAAAGCACTAAAATAATCAAGCATTGAAAACATATGGATCAACTTAAACTCTTATTGTCCTATTGGTAGAATGGGAAGTTGGAAATAAATATTAGAAAATGTTTTGCAGTATCTACTAAATTTGAACTCTGCCTTTCTATGACCCGGATCTTTTAGTCCTAAATAGAAATGCTTACATGTGTTCATCAAAGGACATTGACCAGAGTGTTGATAGATGCTTAAGTCATTATATATCTAAACTAGAAAAAAAATAGTCCATCATAATTGAATGTATAAATAAATCCTATTATATTAATATGATGGAAATCAGTTTGATAATGGAAACCAACTATTATTTGAATCAATACTTAAAAATGTTTTATCGATAACAAAAGCTATAAAATAATAATAATAGTAATAGCAACACTAGCATGTTTCTTAATTGCAATATGTTGACATAATCTAGAAAATTCTTAGAAAATCAGTACACAGAAACAATAAAATGGAATTTTGTTAATTTACCTTTTATGTGTCAGTATATACTTTATTTTCTTAACTGGGTTATTTAAGAAATATGGACATTTTTAACCAAAGTTAGATGTTAACTTTATATATTTCTAAAATAGTATGAAACTCTATACATTTGCAACAAATACAGTAATATAAAAACATATGCCACTTAGAGAAAAACAATTGGCAGCAAAAGGAACAAAAGCAAATGAAAAGCATAAAACAACAGAACTAAGACCAACTAGATTATTTTGATAATACTATACTGAAAAAAAACATTACACTGGGTCAAAAATTAAGTCCAAATGTAAGCTATTTACGGAAAATAAATGTAGAACAAATCTGCTTTGAAAGTGTAAAGTAATAATGTGGTGAAAAAAATGTGTCTCATAATTGCAAAGCAAAAGTATACATAGATAACAAATGTTAGATAATGTTAAAGTTAGAACAAAAATATTAACTTAGTCAAAGAAGATCTTGTATGTTTTTAGAGTGTAAACCATAGTGATTATGATGAAAAGAGAATAAGGATTAAATAGAACTGTAGGAGATAAAACTAAAAATGTGAAAAATTTAAAGACAAAGCCTGAAAAAGGGCATTAATAACAAGTCCAGTTTAACACACATCTCATAAATTGAGAGGTCCATCTCTCAAATATAAACACAACATTGAATTTCTGATAGCAATCAAAGTGAACTGAGATATACTTTTTGTTTCCAGAGCATTAATAGAAGATTTGTTCCAATAAGATCAATGTGCTTGCCTCTGTAGCACATATACTAAAATTGGAATGACACAGAGAAGATTAGTGTGGCTCCTGCCCAAACAGCTAAAAATAAAATTTAAAAAATGAAGATCAGTTAATACATACCAGTGGTAACCTAACAAAATCCCAGAATTACATAGCCACATTTTTAAATTGGGATATAAACCACTAGGTTAATAACGAAGATGAAAAATGATGAGAATGACATCTATAAATTGATATGGAGGGATTCTCAGGATATACGGTTAAATAGAAAAGAGAAATGTGTAAAATAGCATCTACAGCATGCTACCTTTCATGTATATACCTATGAAAGTCCTTGATTTCCCTAAGAACTTTTTATTTGCATTCATAATTTAGCTGTTTGGTGCAAGAGGACCTAGCTTGAGGCGTATCCTGGCTTTTCACATAACTTCCTCACTCAGCTTAATCATTTCCATCTTTTGATTTAAAGTTATTGACAGGAGACACTTCCTTTCACTTGAACACTCAGAGGCCATTGCAAAGTTACTAGTTGGATGAATTTTAATCTCATTATCTCAGGGCATGGAAGCCCCAAGGAAAGGGAATGAGATGGGGAAACACTTGTTCTGTAAAGTAGTCAGAACACACACATTTACAGATTGTTTGGTGGCTTCTATGAGTGAGATTCATTGTTCTCCAAAACAAATTACAATAATAACATAAAAAATCGCTTATTACAGATCCCCATAACAGACATAATGATAATGAAAAAGCTTGATATATTGTGACAGCTACCAAAATGTGAAAGAGACAAGAAATAAACATATGCTATTGGAAAATTGGTGCTGATAGACACTTGATGCAGGGTTACCACAAACATTAAATTTGTAAAAATAAAAAATGCATTATCTATGAAGTACAATAAAATGAAGCGCAGTAAAACATGGTATATCTGTAGTTTCAAAATATCTAAACAAATTATACGTAATCACAAAGGTAAAAATACTAACTTTAGAGAACTTGGCAGATACCCTTTTAACTAATCAATGAAGGATAAAATAATTAGCAATTGGAAAATCTGATATTGTATGCCTTTGCACCTTGTGTACTGTGGTATACCTGCAAAATTTATAGCCCAAAATATGTATGCACACACACATACATGATTCATGTATATCTATACATATGTATAAAACATTCGGCATACATTGTAAGGCATTCATGCAGTGCAAATATATTTGAAAATATTACAAGTGAATATTTCTTGTTATTAATGTTATATATATATGTGTGTGTGTGTATATATATATATATGTGTGTGTGTGTGTGTGTGTGTGTGTGTGTATACATGCAAGCATGCATTCATACAGCAAATATGGGAAACTATCAACCATCAGGGAATCGGGGTGAAGTGTGTGCATAAATTCTTTGTATCATTTTTATAAATTCTCTTTAAGTCTGAAAAAATTTTGAAATGAAAAATTAAAAGAAAATGCCTAAACTAAATATCCTGGTATTTATAACTTTTTAATTCTTGTAACTATGTAAAGTGCTGGGTCAAGATCTATGAATAGGTCAGTTTCTACATTTAATTCTTTTGTAAAAGGCAAACACAGTGATACATTTTGTGACACCAAGAAGACATATTTGATGCCTTTGGAGCCCACAGAACCCACCTCTGTCCCCATATGAAGGAATTATATATATGATAAAAGTAACTGAAGTTATGAAACATAAAACTCTGGAAGCCTGAAAAAAATTTATCGGTATAAGCTGTGTGTGCATGTCTCTGTGTGTATGTGTGTGTGTGTGTGTGTGTGTGTGTGTGTGTTGTGTGTGTGTGTCCCAGTTACCATTATCATCAATTACCTTGTTAAAAACGTACCTTGACTAATGTTGTTTGTTCTCTGAATTAAACTCTTGTGTGGTCATTGCCCTTGAAGGTCAAACCCTCCCTTACCTCCTTCCCCAGCCCTTGCTGAGGGGACAGCTCTACAGGGAGTTTTGTATGGCATTTTCATCAGTGCTTATTTGAATTTCTGCAACTGTGCTCTCTATTAATTTGTTGAATTCCCCTGTTCCTTTTTGACATACTTATCCTGCTACTCTAAAATATTTATGGCCCAGATGTCTGACAATCATATCAGTCAGAAAACCATTTTATTTAAAAAACCATTTCCTATCTCAATTTTACTCTATTACTTTTTTGTTTAGTTTCTTTAGTGTGAAAATGTATAATATATGGATTATTAAAATATATTTTCTGATTACATATATTGAAAACAAGAAAACATTCTCTTAAATCTTCTAAGTGCTAAAGATGTTAATGAATTTTATACATCTTTGATAGTAATGCAAATTTGATTAAAAGAACATTTTGTCAAAATTAACTGTGTAATAATGATTAGTTTTTAAATAATTATTCTGGAAGAGTACTTTTAAATGAGTTTTAACATTTATAACAAAAAATATTCACTTGTAATACTTTCAAATATATTTGCACTGCATATGTATCTTAGAACATATGTCAAATGTTGGGTTGCTGTCATTTTTAAAATTCTAATACTTCTGATAAAAATTAGAGCTTAAAGTAAACTTAGTATGTTCTTAAAAGTGGAGCATACCACATATGCACACACACATGCACAAACATACCCGCAAATTTTTCTTTCTAACATACAGCTTTAAGCTATATTAACCTTGAAGAATTGCAGCATTAATGGATATCATTCTAAGTTGATGGATGATAATTAAGACCATTAGTCCCTTCTTAATGTTTTTTTTCTCAGTTTAATGTCAGTGTACACTAGTATTTTTGGATTTGTTAAACAGAATTACCTATTGTTTATTTTAAAATTATGTCTAGTAGGGCTTCTATGCAAAAGTATTGAAAGTAAATAACAATATTTATAAATGTAAATATTCCAAAAAGTGTTAATTATTTACTTGTAGATATAAGTGGATGTACATTCATGTATTTTAACATCACTAACATATATCCAAATGTTTAAGGCCCAAACCAACATTTTCTGTTCTGGAATGGTTTTTGAAAAATACTGCTTCTTCACAGATGTGCATTTCTAGATGTAAGTGGCAATACTGATGGCTCCTGATTCAATTCTTTATTTGCATTCAATATCATGAAAAGCAATAAATTATTTGGAAAGTTAGATTGAACTTCTGTAGCTCCTCCCACACCTCATGTTTGGCTGTTCCTCATTGATTTTTATATTTCTTTCCCCTTAAACACCTCTGCTTTTGCTTATTTTTCCTTTTTTAAATTTTAATTTTAAACCATGTGAACCATCTTCAAAAATGTCTCATCATATAGATTTAATTTTAAACTGTTGCATTAGTTCCTTTTGTTCTTATGCAGTTTACAATTGATATTTATAAAAGTTTAATTTCTAACTGTCTACAGAATTGTAAGGAAACTGGATATCTTGGCTGCTGGAAAGAGGATATTTGAGGAGGTAATTTTTACCCCCATCGGTATCAACATTGGCTTCGTTTTTCTTCTATAGCAAGAGTTCTACTTAATATGATGAGACTCATTGAAAGTAAGAAGGCAAAAAAAAATTCATAGAAACAGAAGCACTGTAGAACTTGATATCACCATCTTAAAGCAAAATCTTGATTATTTACACTCATAGTGAGAAGCAAATCACTATCCTTTTATCTCTTTATGATTTATTCACGTCAGTGGTCTACGACTTAACATTAAAATGTTTATTTTCTGAGAAGCAAATGTGGTCTCAAGTTAATTTCCAATCAATGCTTTTCATAGCTTTTTGGATGCAAACATGGGCAGTCGTTAAATTCACAGTTCAGCTTTTGTTCTTTGCCCTTCAATTCTCACATTTTCTTTGTGTGTTAGAGGATAAAAGAAGATGTCTTCAAATAAATGTGCCACATTATAATCCTTTAGATTTAAACCGCAGGATCTCTACCCTGTAGCTAAAGCATTTACTTCTATAGTAAGCACTGCTCATTTGGATACAACTTGAAGACAATATTTATGAGCCTTTTTCTAAGTGTATTCATAAATAGTTTTTAAAGACTTCTATGAAACAGAGAAATAATAACTAGTCTTTAACATTTCTGAAAGAAAACACTGTTTTGATAATATAAAAATTATATATTCATGAAACAAGCAGTGCTACAGAGGTTAATCACTGCAAAAAGTCTAATTTAAGATGCAATTATGGATCACTCAGTTTGCTTCCTGGGAACCAAGAGAATTCTAAATTGGAGCGAGTATAAATTATAGCTCATTGTGTCCTATTTAATTTACTTATGTCATAACAACTTTTTCATATCTAATGTGATATATTATTCAGTCATCTTAGTAAAATGTTGCCTTTTTGTTTGCACTTTCATGATAATAAAATTGTCTATTTAAATTCTTTAATAAAAAATAAATGCTTTGTATTTTCTGAAAACAAATGCAACATCAATGTATTACTAAGAAAAAATGCCACAAAATTATTACAAATGTTTAAGCCTTGTTAACTAAAGACATCTAAAGTGACGGTTTCTTTCTGAAAAATCAATTTTTAAAATTAGTATTTTCATAGTTTGATAATGAGCAATTGTTAGACATCTTATATATGATTTTCTGTAATAACAGGCAAGGATGCCCTATGTACCTAATTTTCTATCTGGTGGTCAGAATGTTCTATCTTAGAACAGGATTTTGCTGTATAAATTTAAAACAATTACCAAGTTTTAGAAAGTGACCACTTCCTCAGAATGAGAAAAAATCTTCACAATTTTATCCAGGACATTACCAATAGTACTAGCAAATTTCCCAGCCACTAATCCAGCTCCTCCTTGGTCCTCATTGTTTATGCTCCTGTTCTAGTTAAACAATGTTTGCACTATGGACAGAGAATTCTATTGTATCATGCTTTTTATAGTACATGCACTACAAAGGTATTCATTTGGGTACAAGATGAACAAATAAAATATAATATTAAAATATTTAATTTTCTAAACATTTAAAATCAGATTTCTAAATGAAAACGGTTCATTTTTTTTCATTAAGTTTACTGAATTAACCTCACTACTGAGTGAAATAAAATACTCATTCTGAAATATAGTAATAAGAAAAGAAGCATATATTAGATAAAAT